ATCTCTCTCGTGTCGTGCGGTGATTCCATGCTGTTATCGCAAAAAAATTACTGTTCATTTAATCCACGTTTCGGGTTATCTCCGCCTTTTACCACATCACATCACAAAATATCCATGTGAATGGGCGGATCCATGAACGTTATGCACCAATGAGCGCTCAGCATAGGCGGAACCGATCTCCTGTAGTCATCGACTACGATGAGACTGCATCCCTGCCGTGCATAAATCGTTGATTGATCCCAAGGAGGTCTCCTTTTTCAATCAACGTGCTTTACACCTGTGGATCTAAAAAAATAACCTAGTTAAATGCTCGCCCCGGGATATCCGAATTCCGGACCTGGACCACCGATTGCAGCACAGCACATCCCCGGGTACTTTTATTTGTTTTCTTGTTTTCCACTTCTTTCATTCTCTGTTGTGCATCATTCAGAACCAATCCCAATAACAAAGGCTATGAGTGACAGATGATTGCCTGCTTGACCATTTCATAGTACCGCTTTGTTCAACTAATCTTTCATTTCAGACAAATTCCAATAGCGGAATGCGTTGGTAAAGACATTGAGAATACCTCTCCAGCCAGTTGCTATCCTCAAGATAGCTACTATCAGCCTAGTATGGCGCCGAATTCATTCTACGGNAAAAATCGCTCTTCCACGTTCTAAGCTTCCTCGGTGATGACAAGGAATATACAATCAGATTCAATCAGTTTTGTAGAGCTAATAATTCACCATAATTCGACATCATCTCATATTCTCAAGTTTTTCAATTATCTGTGCCGAATTAACCTACTGTTTACAATACATGATGCGAGAGTATTCGATAACTAAGTGGATATGAATGTTCGCAATTGTACATTCGACCGTATTCAAGGCCCTCATTTGACTTTCCACTAGCACATTATGATCTCGCAAGGTTGCTCAAGCACTATGTGATAAATATACTCTTCTCGTTTCTAAATGAAATCTCATTTCAGAAAATAATTATCCAAATGCTCCGCCGCGTCCGCCTGATGTCTACTTTCCACAGGAGCCGCCATTCATGCAGAATACACGTTTATTTGGTCCGATCCCTCAAACAACCGGAGAATATCAACGGAATTTCTTTAAACCCGATCCAGAAGCATTCTTCGGTCATGGCTGTCCACCAAATCCGTTCGTCCGACCAACATATCCACATTTCCCGTTCACAGTTCAAGCAATGACCTCAACAGCTCCACGAATGCAGAATCCAATTCAGTGCGAATGGGTTGAAGTAAGCGTACAAATGGGTTGATGTTATAAAGTATGCGTCTGATAATAAGATATGATTTGACCCAGTTGTAGCGTTCAACTATCGCAATTTTACGAGACTTGATGAATAGTTTTGAGGAAATATTTGATGAGCTAGTTTGTTTCATCAGAACATCGTGGAATTTCGCAGAGCGGAAGAGATATTTGTACATAATGAGAACCATTGCGGTCACAACAGTAGAATTAGATTATTCCTAATGACAGCAAATTTCAGCGCAACAAAATATGCGATCGTTTTTTTTTCTCGATTGAATGCATCGTTTCACATTTACAACATGA